TGGCGAAAGGTCGTTGACCATCCTTTCTAACCACGCAGCGCTGGTCTCATCGGTACAGACCACAAGCAGCCATCCAGGCCGAATCGAGCAGCCTTGGAAGCGTACTTGTAGCCCCTCCTCAGTAATTGCATCCAGTGCCTTCAAAATGGCAAGTTTCAGCAGCAGGAGTTGCTCGGCGGATAGGCTGTTCTCTGGGTGGTTAGGTCGGATTACTCCAACTCTTATTTCCCCAGCAGCCTCCACGTAGCTTTTTGCGCCCTCCCTACGAGGCTTCTTAGCGCTCTGTTCGGGAGTACTTGCATCCGAGCGGATGCGCTTGCTAGCACTAGGTGCACCAGTGTGAGGTTTGTTCTCCTCCGAGTTGATTTGTATCCCTCCGGAAGAGGTTCCCACTCGTCTGTGCCCTCTGCTTCTCCGCTTGCCGCTGTAGAATCGACTGCAGAGCGGTCTCATAGAGCATTCCGCCCTTGAGAAGTCTTGAGAGGAGCTTTCTTGTCGCTACTCCAAACCTTTTCTTTTTCAGGGATAATTTCTCCATTTGCTTGGAGACCCCGAAAGGAGGTTCACCATCTGCCTTCTTAGGCGAAGGGGATCTTGGCCCCTCTCTTTCCTGATCCGGCTGAGGTGAGTTGCCTGGGGTAGGAATAGTCCCACGCTCCTTTGTTTCCTCCTCCTTGGGAGAAGGATCGAGACGGTTTAATCCATCCTCGTCATTAAGGTTTTTATTTTCTTGGTCCATATAATGATCCCACGAGTAGCAAGGGAAGAAACGACCATCACGGCAGAGCCCCGCAGTACCGTGACTAGGCATTTATGAACTGGGAGGTCGCCCGGTATCCCAGGTTAGTCGCTAGTGGTCAGGATACCCCCTGACCATCCATCTTTTTGGCGCGCACTATACCGTAGGATTTGGGGAGGTTTTTATAGTGGTATCTCATCCACGCGGCTCAGACAGTAAAGCCAAAGCCCCTATGTCTCTCCTAGGAAAGACTTACGGTATAACGGACGTTAAGTCCCGAAGGAGGTCCCGTCCGGCATCGTTTTATGTCTTGGTGCAGTTCCCTGGCCACGACACTACAGCCAGGAACAAGATATTCAGATGCTCCTTAGACCTAGCCAGAGCGCAGGAGGGATCCCCTCGGGTGCCCTGGCCGGGAGCTTCCCCACCAACGTCAAGGTCTCGCATCTCATAGGGGAAGCTTTAAACTTATAACCAAAGGAAAAAATGAAAAATCTCGAAATATCGTTATGGATTAAAAGTTCGCTGTCTAGCCGCTACCTGTAACTGGCTTTCCAATCGAGAAAAAGGTAGAAAACTAGAATTAATCGGAGCGGTTTCTTCTGATTTTATTTATAAATCAATGTACCAACAACAACTTAAGGATTATGATTTTTTTCTAGTCAGACTTTAAGTTGTAATGAAGTCCCTATTTATTTTTTTAGTTTAATATGTTAAATGCCAGGCTTGAACATATATCGAGCAAGGCTTGATAGCGCGGTGCGAAACTTCAATTTATTTTATTTAGTTTCTCTTTTAGCACATATTCAACAATTTTGTTATAAATTGTTAGTATCAATATTAGTTATCTTTATTTCTTTAATAATTATAATGACTTGGCAATTGCACGGTATGATATTCTATAGTAATTAAAAAACTTTATTCTTCAGTGCACCGTTTAGATTTACTTAGTAATCGAAATAGTAGATTATTCTTTTTTATAATTATGGCGCCGTGCATGCAATTGCCAAGTCATTATACTTATTATAGAAATAAAGATGACTAATATTGATACTAACAATTTATAACAAAATTGTTGAATAGGTGCTTAAAGAGAGACTAAATAAAATAAACTGACTTGGTTTCACATGAGATCTCACAATGTTTTATAGCGGAGGAATTATGTTGCGAGACTTGGCATTTGTTTTTGAATGGATTAGGTTTTCTCTATGGATACAACTGATCACCGCAAGTTATTGCTGGGATATTCTATTAATTTTAATTGTGTTTTTTAGACATTGTGAATGATCCTAAACTAAAATGTATAAAGTGTACTTAAAGCCATTAATCTATTCTAATTGCGAGGTACTGAATGAAGCTGCAAAGTATCTACATTTTATTATGTGATTTGCTAAATATAGTAGTCTTTGTTAGAGAGCGTATACTGATAAGTATAACAAAATGGGCGCGTAAAAATAGCACTAGCCAATAAGAAGCCGTTATGCGCATGGCTAGCGCGTGACAACGAAAAGAGCAAGAATCGCCACCAATCAGGTTGATTCAATCCGGGATGATTAAGTTTCTCAACGTTGCCAGCTTCCCTAAAGACGATGATATCTGTAGAAAAAAATGTGTGTGCACTATGTGCGCATATTTGAAGTGAAACTTTTTATTAACATCTATTAAATTGAAGGATTAGAAAGGACATATTTTTAAAAAGTGTAGTTTGAAATATTGAAAAAGTAATAAATTAAAAATTAATAAATAATTTGATTCACATGACCGTCTCTCCGTCTGAGGACTCCATTCGGGTACCAAACTCCACGTGCCGAGTTTGGTTTCAATCGACCCATAATTAAGAAAAATCCTGATGCTTTCGTCCATTTAGAGACATCGCATCGGTTCCAAACGTCAAGGGCGTGATCCTGTAGCCCGTCCCCAATTATGCCGAAATCGACACACATTTTTCTTCAATATAAAATCCTTAGTCCTACCCTGATGAAGATGTAAACGAAACGTCGTATCCAACTTTGCAGGGTGGGACCGTGTGCAACTTCGCTCACATAGCCTACCCACCAAATTTGGTTGCGATCGGACGACATCAACTTTTGACGTTTCTTACGTCAAAACTAACTGTCACAGTGACACGTGTCGTACACGGTCAAGTTGGCCTTGGTCCAATCTAGCAACATACTACAGTTTATTTAAAACTGAAGATTTTTTGCCATTGATGATGGGGGTTCAGGGTGCATCCACATTATCCTAGAAAAAGCGGATTGGCGTATCGGCGTAACGACTAACGACCTTGAAACGATTTCCAGTAATTCCATTGGCTGAAATTTTTGACAGATGAATTTGACAGATAAAATTTCTGACAGATGCATTTTTCAGACAATAGAATTGCTGGAAATCGATTCAAGGTCGTTACGCCGATACGCGCGCCGTTCCGCTTTTTCTAGGGTAATGTGGACGCACCCTCATAGCGCATGAAACATCGTTAAAATATCATGAAAAGATCCATTTCATCTACACTCCAAGTTTCAGCCACCCAGCTCACATACGATGTTGATTCTTACCACTTTTTCGATCGTTACCACTTTTTGCCTCACGTGTCATCTCGCTAGCTCATGTGTCAGCGCGCGTAAAGAAGTTTCACTTCAATATTTTTACCTTTTATAACAGATAGAATGAAGGAAATTAGTTAATACAGGGTGGTCCGAATTGTATTCCGGAAACTTCGGCAGCATATTCTGCAGATAAAAATAAGTAAAAAGTTCGTATAAATGCATGTTCTAAAATGCTTAGTTTCGGAGATACAGGGTGTAGAAGTTTCATTTTTATTTTAATTTTTTTTAAATAATTCCCTGAAGTAACGTCAATAATTGATTGAAAATTGGTATCTGGGAGTTTTTTGACATGAGAAATTTGATTTTGATGTCAATATGACTCTTACTTGTAGAGGGCGCCACCTGCATATCTTTTAACTGGTTCGAAGACCAATAACTTTTCATCCATACCTGTATAAAACTACTGAGTAAAAAATATACATTTACAACGTTTTTTTTCGTAAAAATGTCTCTTGGTAAAAATCGCTACGAATAATGGTTCTCGAGATATTTGGAATCTAAATTATTAATACCTGTCATCATTGACATACAGTAAACATGTTGACTAAATAGTTATTAGATTGAAATCATAAATATGAAATGTTTTTGTCCAAAAGTCCGACAGAAACTGTTTTATCATAATTTTTTGAAGAAAAATTTGTGATTAATTAAAAAAAAATAAAAAGTTTCCAAATCTATCATTTCAGTCAAATAACTATCTACTCAACATGTTTAGTTTTTGTCAATAATGACATGTATTGACTATTTTTATTCTAAATATCTTGAGAACGGTTGCTTGTAGCGAATTTTACCAAGAAACCATTTTTGCGTAAAAAACGTCGCAAATGTATATTTTTATACTCATTAGTTCTATACAGGTACGAACGAAAAGTTATTATTCTTCAAACCGGTTAATAAATATGTAGGTGGTGCCCTCTACAAGTACGAGTCATATTGACATCAAAATCAAATTTTTCATGTCAAAAAACTCCCAGATACCAATTTTCATCCAATTATTGATGTTACTTCAGAGATTATTGGAAAAAAAATTAAATAAAAATAAAACTTCTACGCCCTGTATCTTCGAAACTAAGTATTTTCGGACACACATTTATACGAACTTGTTCACTTATTTTTATCTGTAGAATAAGCTTCCGAAGTTTCCGGAATACAGTTCGGACCATCCTGGATATATCTAACAAGAACTACGTTAAAATACTTATTAGACATTTTTTACTTATTATAGCATATACGGTAAATTTCATAGGTAATATCTGTGGGTGATAGGTAATATCTGTGGTGTTCATAGGTAATATCTGTGTCAAGTGATTTTATTTTTGTATTATTAAAATGATAACATCAATTTTTTATGACTGCTTAATTTCCTTTTGTCAGATAATAGTATACTTTATACCGTATGATCGAATAAAAACGGCGTCAGCGATGGCTCTGAAATAAAGATCGCTGTCATTTTATATGTAAATTTATATGGGAAATGTCATCGATCGTCATTTCCCAGCCAACTGGACGCCGTTTTTTTTTCGATTATACGGTATAATGTTTTTATTTTTAAGAACATTGGTAAACTGTTTTTCTTGAAATTTGGTACTCTTCACATATTTTAATGCTAAATCGGTATAATATCAGATAACACTGAAAGTTTCTTTTTTTTATAGAAAGTCTTAACACATTCACGGTCTAGGGTGGTGTTACAAACATTATATCACGCTCATAAACAGAACAAACGTTTTGAAGTTTTTGTTACAACATCTGCGCCTGATAATTCAGGGTGAGTTTTAGCATTTGTAATATTTATTTAATCTTGTTAGTAATCATATACTTTTAGTCGCCAAATGTGTAAAGAACTTCAAAACATAGGAATACCCTGTACACTCATTTTAGATTCTGCAATAGGTTACGTAATGGAACAGATAGATTTTATTATGGTAGGTGCAGAAGGAGTTGTAGAAAGTGGTGGTATTGTAAATAAGGTGATTGTTCATAACGTTTACATTATTATCTTCATTAATCAAAGTATAATTCGATTATAGATAGGAAGTTACACTATGGCGGTATGCGCGAAAGAAATGAAGAAACCATTTTATGTGTTAACTGAGAGTTTTAAATTTACTAGATTATTTCCTTTAAATCAGCAAGATTTGCCAGCTGAATATAAAGTAAGCAGTATTTAATGTTTTATTTGTGTCTTAATAATTATACTTTTTTTTAGTATACTACCAAAGTAAGAGAATCCGTGGATCTTAAAAATGCACATCCTTATGTTGATTACACGCCTCCTTCCTATATCACTTTACTTTTTACTGATATTGGTATCTTGACGCCATCTGCTGTAAGTGACGAATTAATAAATTTGTATTTATAATTAGGTGTGGATATTTTATTTCCTAAATAAACTAATCAAAGCGAATTAGGGATCACATTATGTGTATCTGTATTTACTATGTTTATAGACCGATCTCTGTATATTTATAGCAGCATATCATCAGAACAATTTTTTTTCATACATAAATTGATACAAAAGCAAAATTATTTCCCGTCATAAAAAAATAACAATAAAGACGCACTCGAAGATGCCTATATTCCATAAAATCAGTTTCTTAATTAGTGTAATTTTGCCTTCTTGATCGTCAAAATTGGTGTTAAATATGGCAAATTTTGATGTTTTGGGAAGACCAAAGGTTGTTATAAGGTGTTTAAATACTGAAGAAGTCATCAGAGCCACAACTTTATTGCAGGAGGGTCGGTCACAACTTTTTCATTTTACACAATCGGTCATTTCCAGAGTATTGAATCGTCACAGAGAATATGGTTTTGTTGTCCTCAGACCATATCCTCAACGAGTAAGGCGGACAACGAGGCGGGAAAATCGGTTTCATGTTCAAGCCGCTTTCGTGAAAGAACATTTAGAGCAAGAAATCTACAAAATCTTCTTACGATCGCCACAGGAACTCGAATTTCAACTCATACTGTAAGAAATAGGCTGAGTGAAGTTGACATTTGATGAAGGCGAGCATCTGTTGTGCCGCATTTAACTGCTAACATCGTAGGGCACTAACGATATTATATTGTGCCGAATTTAACCGGTAATCATCGTAGGACACGAACGATATTTGCTCAAGAACATCTTCACTGGGGCGTGGATCAGTTGAGGATGGTGGAGGCCCGTCCTTTTTACGGACGAGTCCCGTTTTCGACTAAGTCATAATAATGCCCGGTGGAGGGTATAGAGAAGACCGAATGAACGGTATCTGGACACAGCAGTCAGAGAAGCGATTCATTTTGGTGGAGGTTCCGTCATGGTATTGGGAGGTATAACTTTAAATGGGAGTACGGACTTGCATGTGTTTCTAGACGGCATAATTAATGCTGAACGATACAGAGATGAGAGCAAATGAAAGAAATGGTCAAGATCTGCATGGTCAAGAATTCATCTTACAACAGAATAATGCTAGACCTCATACTGTAAGAGTAGTTACTCGATACCTTGAAGAGTCCAATATCACAATTTAAGAGTGGAAATACCAACGGGGGTAAGTGCTAAAATTATTTTTTTCGAGATAAATGAGAAAAACACAGTAGAACTGAAGCTAATAAAACACGCTTTCGCTTGGCACTTGTAACTTTTGTTAGGACATGCAGCACAGTATTTGTTACGTTTCTAATACAATAACTTAATATTGAAAAATTTGGCTCCTTTGGTATTTCCACTCTTCAATTATGGATTGGCCTGCTAATAGCCCTGATCTCAATTCCATTGAGCACCTTTTGGACCTAAGAAAGAGAAGACAACAAAGTCGTCCACAAAGTCGTCCACAAGCACCAGATCTTCAAACTTTGGGAGAAAATCTTCGAGAGGGGTGGAGCGTTCTTCCTCAAGAGATTATTCTATGGCAAATCGTTGTGCAGAAGTGCATAGAAATCGCGGAGGACACACATATTAGGAAAAATATTATTTCTGTTGACAATTAAGATAAAATTGTTTAGCATTGTTTTCGATACATATAGTAGTCATTCATAACATTATAAAAATACAATTTTCAGTAGTTTGACAACTTTTTTCATCATGAACACCAAGGTGCATACACTACATTCAAACTTAATTCTTAAGGAACATATTGCTAAGTTTATATGTTTAAATAAATAATATAATTTCTTTGTTTAAACGAAATTTATCAAAGTGATCCCTAATTCGTTTTGATTAGTTTAGGTTAAATTCGTTCCAAGGAATAAATTTAAAATTATACAAAGCAAATAGTGGAAATATTGTTTATTAAAATAAAGTAATTAATAATCACAGTAAAAACAACTGGACATGCACTCAACATACAATTATTATTTTACACCAAACATATAAAAAGTAATATGGATACATTTGTAACAGTAACAACAAACTTGAGATACTCACATGGGGTTGATTGAGTCAGTTGTGTCAAAAATAAACAGACTATAAACGAACTTAGTATTTAAACTTAATATAATAAAGAACAGTACGACACTGAACCCCATGGCAATTTATTTTTTTATTTAACTCTTATTTATTTTTTACATTTTAGACTTACTTCACTATATGGACAAAAAATCACAGATTTATATAAAAGTTGTATTTTAGCAATTTTAGCAAAACGTTGCCCGATATGCGCTGCAAAGTGTCTCGACGACCGTATAAACTTGTTCGAAGTTTGGTCGATTTTCGGGCTTGTATTCCCAACATCTTAACATTAATCGGTACATTTCGTCGGGTGTATTTTCCGGTGCTGGCATTCTGTAACCTAAAAATGTAAAATAATTATTTTAAAAGAAGTTCATTAAGCAATGACGATTGTTTTCTGGTGAAATGCCGGGTCCAGACCAAGATGACAAAAAATAAACACGATTTTGAGACAAAAACAAGACAAATTTGTCACAAAAAATGGAAACTTCTGACAAGACAAACTTGAGACAAATTGTCCACACCGCAATGACAAAAGTACAAAAAAGTCAAAAGTTTAGTTATTGCGAATGAGTTTTATTAACCATGTGTGATTTCACTGGTCTCCTACTGTTGGCAGCACACGCCATCCACACTGCGCCGACAACTTGTCGCAAAATATACGGACAAAACATAGACACTTTGATCTTTACCGACTCGAGACGGGACATTGAAAAGTCTCCAAATTTTGAAACAAAACAAAAAAGGAGACAAAAATGTCGCAGAAATGTATTGGATTTGTCATAAAACATGAATGTTTCTATCTTGTCACTGTTTTGTCTGCTTGGTCTGGACCCGGCATAATATCTCGGATTTTACCGCTTTAATAAAACAAAAAAAATTGGCGCCGGGAGGCACGTATAGCCGCCCATAAAAGTATTTTTCCAATTTTTTTATCTCAAAAACTGACTGATTTTGATGTTATTACAAATGCAATGCAAATATTATTCCTAATCTTAAATTGAAAACAGCGTTTCGCTAGCTACTGTAATTTTGGAGTTATTTTTTAAAATTGTTAACCCTATCCCATACCCTCTTATCAATCCCCCCACCCCCACCAAAAACTAATGGTCAGATTCTCGGGTGCCACAGTATTTTTGTGCCAAATTTGGTTAAAATCGGTTTAGCGGTTTTTGAGTTATCGTGTTACAAACGGACAGACAGACAGACGCCATGAAAATATTATGTATTTGGTCATTTATGACCCAAATAACTAATTTTGAGTGAAATTAAAAAAACTTTTTTTTAATTTTTTGCCTTTTTGCCGATCTTAATAGCCTACCATACCTGTTGGTATGGTCGGCTAATAAATAGGTAGTGGATAGAAATGTGTTTTGTGGTACACGCTACATTCCGATCATTATTTTGATATTTAAAACGAGTAATTTTCTATTATTTGTTATAATTTAATTTTTCATTTCTTAGTCCTAAACCTCATTTACTACGTCATTTCATATGTATGTTAAACTTTATTTACTTTTTCTGTTAAACCATTCAAAAAAACAAAGAATTAATTTTGAAATATACTCATACGTTTTATTTATTAAAAAATTACCAATTTTGACTGATTTGAAAAACGCTGTTCTACAATATTGAAAACAGATATATGAGAAGAACTATGTTTTTATTGATAGCTAATTTCGATAAGTATAATTGAGATTTTTTTCTTATATGAATACAATCATCAACTGATCAAAATGTTGGTTAATCTATATCGATACTAATCAAGTGGATTTTGACTTTCACAATTAAGAAAAATCTAATGGAATTTCATATACTATCCCGTTTTGCTTGCAATTCGGATAGTGCTAGGAGGGGTTGCAACATTTTCTAAATCACCCTATAGATACCATGGAAACTAAATCAGCCATATGACAATTTTGTTTGTGGCCTCTTTGGTATCATAAAAAAGTAAAGTCTGTCTAATGAGAGATACATATGACTATGACAGTTGTCTGTCATTTTAATTAACAAGCAATCTGGGTAAACTTTAGCTATAGTTTGTGAAAACCGTAGGGTTCTGTCTTGTCTAATAAGGGAGAAAACAAAATATTTTCATGGATTTTAGACATTTCTGTGTACTATTTTAAATGGACACTTATTTACATTAGGAGTGGAAAATGTTTTGAGTTATTAAAATCAGAATATCATGGTAATCATGGTAAATTGGAGGATTATCGTCTTAAGAGAAAGCCTTCTTCGTTTATTAATTTCAAATGTGTATATTCAACCATGGTCACTTGGAAAATATCGAAACAACGCCATGTAATATAGCTGTTACGGTTAAGGTCCGATGTCCGGTTAATGTCGACATTACCCGGTTAATCTCGAGAATAACACACAACAAAACAACCAAAAACATATCCTAACCCAAACATTAACATGTTAATGTCGACATTAACCGGACATCGGACTTTAACCGTAACATAGCCACTATAGTCTGTGAAACGAATAACTTTGAATTTGACAGTTCCCGCGGGCTTTTCTAGTGTTAATTTTATTAGGTTAGCAACTTGCGGCCATGCATTTTTCTTTGTTGTCTGATATTTAGAAATGTCAAAAGCTGATGACATTTTACTTTTGACAGTTATGACATTTCGTGTTGATTTTTGCAAGAAGAGGAAGAACTGTCACTGTTTTATTATTTTCCTTTTCTATTTCACGAAAGTAAAAAGAATTACCTATCTGATTCGTTCAGGCACTCAATTTAAAGAATATCAGTAAATTTTTTGATAGAGGGATTTTATATTTGTCATGTTGGTAAAAACTATAGCAAATAGACTATAACAAAATCATTATGGTACAATGGTACAATTATGATTTTATGATCCATGATTTTTTATTTATTTATATATGATCCACGAGTAGAGAAAAAACAGCTTTTTTACACTCGGTTAAACAGTGATATCAACATTTTGAATGTAAAAATATTTAATCTAAAAAAAATTAAAAGAATGTAACAATATTTAATCTAAATCTTGTCAAAAATAAAATATTAAACGTTTTATTTTTGACAACAGAAAAAAGTGGCCTGCATCCAGAAGGGGCGTCATAGGTTGAGAAATGTGTATCAACATTCCTCAATTAGGAAAATCTATGAGATAATTAGTATTTTCGAATTTGCGGTCTGCTTGACCGCCCTAGTCTTTGGTAAAGTTTTTACCGCAAGTAAATATTTTCCCAGATATGGCCGAGAGAGAACACAACAATCTACAATTTTTTTTACTTACCGCCGTCAATTTTTTCTCTGGCTTTCGAATTGTTCATGCCGCTATAAGGAGTTCCTCCTCTTGAAAATATTTCCCAACATAGGATACCATAACTCCAAACATCACATAGAGACGTATATTTTCCTAAAAACATTTTATTTTAAGATAATTTATTATGTTTTTTTTATCATAGAAGTTGAAATATATTGAATAAACTGCGAATATAATAAATTGTTTTTTATGCATTTATACACATACAAGGATCGGCAATAGTGCGTAGGACATCTGTAGCTCCTAGAATAAAAAACTTGGGAATTTTGTTTAAGTGCAAACATAAAGTATGTACTGGGAAGTATTTCAGGAAAATATTTTAACTTCTATAGGGTGGCTCAAAAAAGTGTGAGTGGATCTGGATGATTTTTTTTAATGGAACACCCGGTATATTATTGCATTTTTGACTTCCTTTCAGATCTTTTTACGTAATCCTAAGACATGAGTAAATATATTTCGAGAAATTCAGAGATATTAATAAATAAGTAAGAATTATATATTTTCAGCCTTTCTTAAAAAAATATTAATAATACAAGAACTGTCCTGAAATCAAAACTATATTATAGGTATTTGCTTTAGATGGTACTGTTTGTTAGCTGTACTTACTTTGCTATAAATATGGAAATCGTAAATCATACGAGATGTTCAAAATTCTACCCCAAACTTTCTAAAATATAAAATATGTTTTCTTCGTTTTTTAAATGGAGACTTTTTCAATATATAGATGGAGAATTAAAAAATAAACATTTTTTGTATTTAGAGTATTTCAAAATTTTTAACTGTTCCGCAGATCAGCCACTTAATGATTTTTCTCTCCTATTTTACCATTGAAAGCGCCATATGAAGTACTACTGCGAGTATCTGCAAAACTGTCAAAAATTTTGAAATACAAAAAATGTTTATTTTTAAACTCTGCATCTAATAAAAAAGTAATATACAGGGTGTTCCATTTAAAAAAAATGAAGAAAAATTATTTTATATTTTAGAAAGTTTGGCGTAGAATATTGAACATCCTGTATGATTTACGATTACCATATTTATAGCAAAGAAAGAACAGATCATCTAAAGTAAATAACTAATATAGTATGGATTTCAAAACAGTTCTTGTATTTTTAATTTTTTTAAGAAAGGCTGAAAAATATATATTCTTGATTTATTTGTTAATATCTCTGAAACTATTGAAATATATTTACTCATATCTTAGGATTATGTAAAGTGATCTGAAAGGAAGCCAAAAATTCAATAATATACAAGGTATTTCATTAAAAAAAACATCCAGATCCACTCATACTTTTTGAGCCACCCTATAGAAGTTAAAATATTTTCCTGAAATACATTCTGGTACGTATTTTAGGTTTGCACTTAAACAATATTCTCAAGTTTTTTTATTATAGGAGCTATGCCCAACGCACTGTGGTGAACCGATATGTTTGCAAATAGGAATAAATAATTAAAAATAATTAATTACATACAAGGTCAAGCTTTCTTTATAATCTGCAAAGTCCAGTAAGTAAAAAATTCGTCACACGCTGAGAGAAAAATCCAGCGCTGCGTTAAGCGAAGACGTAACGATTCCCTCAATGTGTCAAGCTGTGTGTAAAATAGAAAACAAATTTCTTGCAGTATAGGTATATAATAAAATTATATAAGTATTCTTGCCACTTAACTGCTGAGATAAAGTGCTGTGTGTAAAGCCACCTTACGAAACGTATCAAGGGTTACGACTCAGCACATATTTATCGAACCACGTGTCGATACTCCGCAAGGATTGTTAGTGGCTAGAAGCTTGTGTAAAGTAGGACAAACCGTTCCTGTTAGAACATTGAATCTGACTGAAGAAAGTATTGTATTAAAACGTAAATCTGTCATTGCTAATGCTATTGAAGCCGAAGAGGACGACTCAGAAAGTCACGGAGAACACCAGATACGAAATATAGACATAAAGAATGTAAGAGAAATTCTACAGGCATTACGACTAGAAAACCCCGTAAACCGAGAGGAAGAACAGCTACAGAATCTTATTTTGGAGTATATTGATATATTCAAACCCCTGATCAGAAACTAATTTGCACCACAAACGTTATGCATCGTGTTATTACAGAAGAAGTGCCGCCTATTTTAAAAAGACCCTATCGAGTACCATATCAAAGACAAGAAATTATGAGAAAAGAAATTCAAAAACTTCTAGATGACGGAATCATAGTGGAAAGTCAATCTCCATGGAGTTTTCCTGCAATTTTATTGGAAAAGAAAAGACCCCCAGGAGAGCAAGCGCAATATAGGCTAGTAATCAATTATAGAGACTTAAATACTATTATAAAAACGGATTATTTTCCCCTATACAAGAAACCATCGAGAAATTGCCAGGATCCAGTTTATTTTCCACCATGGATTTAGCGTCTGGATATTTCTAAGTGCCACTACATCCAGAAGACCAAGAGAAAACTGCGTTTTCAACTCTGGATAATCATTACCAGTTTCAACGTATGGCTATGGGACTAAAGAACGCCCCTGCCACCTGGAGTCGCATGATGACGCACATACTAGGAAAACTCCCCTACAAGGAATGTCTCGTATACCTTGATGATGTCATTGTGTTCTCTAGCGATATAAAGAGCCATTTAGACCGGTTACGTCATGTTTTTGAAAAATTAAGGGCCAGCCATCTAAAAATAAAAACCGCTCAACATTTGGGCATTACGACGAGCTGCAACTGATATTGGCCAAAAGACTACTTTTATGAACTTCTGGACCCGTATTTATATGCAAAATTTTGCCACTACTCTCGAAGAATCTATTGTCCCCACCGTTTTTTAGGATGGCTACGTGCGTTTTAACTGGAGCATTTTTTCTAATATGAAATTTTGTTTACTGACCTCGAAATGAGGCCAACGTTCGACGGTTCCTGGGATTTTTCTCTCAGCGTGTGACGATTTTTTTACTTACTGGACTTTGCAGATTATAAAGGAAGGTTGAACTTGTATGTAATTAATTATTTTTAATTATTTATTCCTATTTGCAAAAATATCGGTTCACCACATCACTCCCTATCCCACAAGACGAAATTATCTTTTAATAAGTTCATTTCGGCTAGACTGAAGTGCGATAACAGTATTTGGTTGTTTCGATAAAATATAGGTGACAGTGTCATACCAGCGTATTGAAGAAAAATAATCTTTTTTATAGACTTGGTGCATGTCGAATACCGGGCCTTTACCGCATCGTGGGCCCAGTGGGAGGGACGCCGCCTTCCAATCACCTGCGCGTGTGCCAGATGCCAACAGGCACCCACTTCGCTGTACCAACCCTACTTCTACTGGAACCTGTTATAATCAATTGGTGTGCCTAGTTGTACGTGCGGCGCACGTACAACACGTCGTGCGCTGTGAGTAGAATGAAATACCAATACAACCCCCACACCATGCCCCCGTCCCCGTCCCCTCAGCCTCAGCCGTTCTACAAACACTACGCCAGCCCCAAATGAATTATTCGTCCGACCACCGACACCCGAGGTCGCACGTGCGTCCAGGCCTATCGGACATGGGCGTCACGCACCAGAAATGAATCTCCCGCAGCCTGGACCATCCGGCGTCAGGAGGCGAAGGGCTCTCCCAATGGCGAGTCATAGAAAGCATTTTCAAAAGAGGATCGGGCATAAGATATGCCGACGATTACATCGGAGAGTGGATGTATAGGACCAGCGACTTATCCGAAGTTGACAGTCGAGCGGCTCGGTTCGAAATATTCTGCCGAGATATTGCCAGAGCGTATCTCGGACCCGGACGGCGCCCGATGTCCGCAAATATTATAGAATGCGATTGCCACGAGTGCGAGCCGATATGAGAGTGCGAGTAAGATTTTTTTTATCTATTTTTTAAAGACGTCTTTCAAAAACTTTTTTCGCAAAATCATAGGTAGAATGGTCCCAATTAAAGAAAAGGCCAGGAGCGTCATTAATAGGGCTATGATGGATTTTACCTATCGATAAGTATCGTAATTCCCTATCAATATATTTTAGTTAACGATATGTCGATAATTATCGATATATCGATAATTTTGAAGTCACCTATTGTTATTCGCAATAATATCGATGTTACCGATATATCGAAAAAAACATCCCGTCCGTAGTCATTAATATTTTTTTTATATTTTGTCGATGAACGCCTCCTCGACGTTATATAGAAAACCCGCAAGGGCTGCTGCAGGACGAGGAGCAGCCATAGTGCGAAGACCGTAGTGAATCGGGCGAACAAATAAAAGAGTTAGTGCCGGTTATCTATGTTAGTTATTAGTATTATAGAAAGTGTTTATAGATCATAATCTCAAATGTAGTGGAACTTAAAAAAAATATATAATAATGTGTTTGTTAACGTAAGGCATATTGGAATTTTGTTTATGTAATTTTGTTTATGTAAATTAATATATTATATACTCATATTATCTTGGAGTGTTTTATCTTGATTACACTTTTACTAAAATAAATGTTTAACACTGATGTTAATTTAGAAAACTCTTACTTCAACTCATGTAAAACCACTCTCCTCAACATAAAAAAACGATTATTTTTCTTCAATACGCTGGTATGACACTGTCACCTATATTTTATCGAAACAACCAAATACTGTTGTCGCACTTCAGTCTAGCCGAAATGAACATATTAAAAGATAATTTCGTCTTGTGGGATAGGGAGTGATGTGGTGAACCGATATTTTTGCAAGTTGGAATAAATAATTAAAAATATTTTTTTTTATTTTCTTGGGATTTAGGTTCGGGAAAACTGATTAAGTTTTCATTTGGTTTTTCATATCTTTATTTCATTTTTAAAGGAAAAACAAATGTTTCGAACAAAATAAAAACAAAACATTACAGCCAAGGATTAAAAATAATTAATTACATACAAGTCCAGTAAGTAAAAAAATCGTCACACGCTGAGAGAAAAATCCCAGCAACCGTCGAATGTTGGCCTCATTTCGAGGTCATTAAACAAAAAACGGTGGGGACAATACATTCTTCGAGAGTAGTGGCAAGATTTTGCATATAAATACGGGTCCAGAAGTTCATAAAAGTAGTCTTTGGCCAATATCAGTTGCAGCTCGTCGTAATGCCCAAATGTTGACCGGTTTTTATTTTTATTTTTTTAATTTTTAATAAGTGAATATTCAAGTCGGGACTTGAATATTCACTTATTAAAAATATTCGGTCGGAATTTAGCAAAAAAAATTAAACATAAACTATTAGGTCGGGACTTGGACAACTAATAAAAGTGTTTAATCGGGAAAAACATCGCGAGAAAAATTTAAGTGCTTTTCGAGTATTAAACCTGAAAGCAGAAATGATACTTGTGTGTTATAAAAGTGACTGTATTTCTTTTTTTTTTTCGGAAACGAAACTATAACTGAATGATCCAAGAACTTATGTAATAATCGATTTTAAATTACCTATAACATTTAAAAAAAGGCATTTAATACTGGTGGTTTAGTTTAATAAATATTTTGTATAAACATACTCCAGGGTTTTTCTGTGATAAGCAAAGAGGTATAAAATACCTGATAAATAAGCTCCCTTTTTAACAAGCCAAATTAGTAGAAGAGCAGGAACCCAATAATGGACTCATCTGGTGGAAGATAAGAAGAAGAGTGTTTTTTGTAGACGCCAATGGGGGAATTGGGCGAAAATAAAGTAAGTGAATATTATTTTCTGGGCCCAAAATTGAGGGCGGTCGCTACAGCACTATTGCCGCGCGGACACTATATATTTAGTTATATAATATGAACTTACGATTTTAAATATAGTTTACGTAGATAATTTATTTAAAAATTGTGTGTGCAACACTATGTGCGCATATTTGAAGTGAAACTTCTTACTAACAGCTATTAGTTGAAGGATTGAAGGACATGTTTGAAAAAGTTTAGTTTGAAATGTTGAAAAAGTAATGAATTAAAAATTAATAAATAATTTTATTCACTTTCACAACATTTGCTTAATGCAATGACCGTCTGTCCGTCTGGGGATTTCATTCGGGTACCTTTATCCACGTGCCGAATCTGGTTCCAATCGACCCATAATTAAGACAAATCCTGATGATTTCGTCCATTTAGAGGCATCGTTTCGAAGCGCGGAGAGCGTCATCCTGTAGCCCGTCTCCAATTATGCCGAAATCGACCCACATTTTTCTTCAATATCAAATCCTTAGACCCACCCTGATGAAGATGTAAAATAACGGACAATCTTTTCGCCTTTGATGATGGGATTTTATAGTACACAAAACGCCGTCAAAATATCATGAAGCTTGAAGACCCCATCTACATTCCGACTTTCAGGGTACATATAGGGCACATGGCGCTCCAAAAACCCATCTCAACTTCCTCATTCGCTTACCACGTTTTCGATCGTTACTACTAGCTCGTGTGTCATGGCCTTGAATTTTTACTCACAGTGCGCGCACAGAAGTTTCACTTCAAAAATATAAAGCTACGGAATTATTTTGCAATAGTTACGATTCTGGGTACTAATGTTTTCTTCACTAAGCCGATTGTTAAACTAATTTAAGCCGAAAATGTAAACTGAACGCGCTATAAAAATATACTAACCAAAATTTAAAGCTTCGGGGGCAGTCCACTTTATTGGAATCTGCTTCATCCCATCGGAAACAATATATTCCTCTTCTTCTCTGGACATCCCAAAGTCTGATATTTTGACAATATTGTTATATCCTTAAAACAAAATACGTCATAAGTTATACTTTTATTTTTTTATAAAACCATATTAAGTACGTACCTACTAAACAGTTGCGAGCTGCCAAGTCTCTGTGTATGCAGTTCTTCGATTCAAGATACCTCATACCAGCGGCCGCATCCAAGCACATTTTCATTAATTGATTTTCTGTTAATGTTGAAGCAGACTTTCTCAAGAATGTTAATAATGATCCACCTAGAATAAATAGTAGACTAAATTCTCAAAGTTTAGCATTGTTTTTTTGCTACGGACGAAAAGTTATTCATCTTCAAAACAGTCAAAACACATATGTAGATGGCGCCCCCTACCAATAGGAGTCATATTGGTATCAACATCCCAAATTTCTCATGTCAAAAAACTCCCAGACACTAATTTTCATCCAAGTATTGACGTTACTTCAGAAATTATTTGGAAAAAATCGAAATAGAAATAAAACTTCTACATCCCGTATCTCCGAAACTAAGCATTTTAGGACGTACATTTATACGAACTTTTTTAATTATTTTTATCTGCAGCATATGCTGCCGAAGTTTCCGGAATAAAGTTCGGTCCACCCTGTATATTATCTTAAGATGAAAAAAAAGTATCCTTACCAGGCACTAATTCCATAACAATCATGATTGGTTGCTTCTGAACACATATTCCAATCAATTTAACAATGTTTGGATGGTCGTATTGTTTGAGTATTCTGCCTTCTTGTAAGAACTTCTTTTTATGTTCTTCTGGTAATGTTACCCTACATGTCTTCACCGCTACTATATCGTTGCTATTTTTTAGTTGAGCTCTGTACACGTCACCAAAATTTCCCTGGAGCAGAAAGGCACAATGTGAGAATATTTTGCAGCGATTGGCATATTTTGCAGTTTAATATATACAAATTATTATCAATACTTTTTCAAGAAGGTAAAAATATATTAAAATTTTTAAGATGTGATATAAATAAACGACAAAAACGTACATTATATACTAATATAATAGGACCGAGCTTGATTATTTTTTTGTTTGATTTTTAATTAACTGTGATCTACTTAATCGCTATTATAAAAAATAATACCATAGTGCACCGGTTTTTAATATTTTAGGGATTTTACTTTTTACTAAAAATTTTTCGATAAATTATTTATTAAAGTATCGCCTATAGTAATAATCTACAGGGTGTCCCAATATTCTGTGGACATATAGCTACTAGGTATATTTGGAATCAAAATAAGTTCATTGTATACTACATTGTATACAATTTACCTCTATACAAAAGTGCTTTGTTTGTCCGCTAGAGGGCATCAAGCTTTAAAAAAATAAAAATATTTTTTCAGATATTTTATGAACCGTTATTCCGGTTTGTATAAGATTTTGGGTGGGTCTCTATTTGACTTTCACAAAAATTAAGAAAAGGAAAGTATGGGAAGGGTAAAACTACCCCATCCCTACATAAATTTTAGTATAAATTAGTTTAAATATTTTCCAACTCAACCGACGACAGTTTTTTTTCGTAAAATGGTCCTTCTAGAATTTACTACATTTTTTGTCTCTTGTCAAATGCCACCACGCATACTTTTTGAGGAAAAAAAACTATCTGACTGACTTCTAAAAAATGTATTTTGTAACATCAAGCAATGGAGGCGCATATAAATGTATTATTTTCTAATAATCTAATTGGCGAAAATAAGTAATTTTATGTTAGTATTACAAATTATATTTGACAATAAGTTTCATAAAAAGCTGCATTTTAAATTAAATAACGTTCGGGGTTATTTTTGATTGATGCCCTCTAACGAACAAACACTTTTGTATAAAGGTAAATTATGTGCAATTAACTTATTTTGATTCAGAAAATACGTAGTTGTTCTATGTCCACAGAATAGAGATGAGCTTAACAGCGACTTTTAAGTCACCGGTATACCGGTGACAGCGACCAGACGGTCGCTGGTTACTCTCAGGGGGGTGACAGTAAACCGGAAAATTGGAAACAATTGTGGCGCGGTTCTACCCAGGCAGAAAGCATGGCCTTCTAGACTGTCCTAGACAAAAATCTGAATATTTCTATATGATTTCTGTCAATTTCTGCTACGGAACATTTTTATGCACGTCGGCGTCCTGTTCTTTTGTCTTTTGTCTGTGTGTCAGCGTCAGCTCCCGAGGCCTCTGGCAAGGTCGGGCGCCATTTTAATTTTTGCCGTATAGATTTGATTGGAAGTTTGTTTCTGATTATGTTTCTGATATTTCGGCTGAAATTTATAAGTACAAAGATGTTTTTTGATATAAAGTTCCTTGTTAACACTTTAATAAAGTATATATGATGAAATCGACGTTTCTGCGTGTAGTAGGTATGGGCCATATTATCTGTAAAAATAGGTAATATATTAACTGTTTTTATATTTTTTTAGCTTTAAACCCAAGGATCTTGGGATATTCTTTGCCAAGGATTTTTCCGTATCTCTACTTTAAAGACTGATCGGTGATTTTGAGCAATTGAAAGCAAGTTATACAAGGTAAATTATGATTATTGAACTATTATTAGCCTACATTAATTTTCTACAAGATGAACAGAAATGCGTAATTACATATCACACATGTATTTTCATAGCAATAATGCTATAAATCTATGTATGTAGATTATTTTAAAATACAAATGAGGTATTAGATGTATATGTATCATATTTTTTATTCATTTTATTTTCATTCAATTCCTGTTTGATTTAATTCATAAAAGTCTTATGTACCTATATTTATGTTTTTTACATATTTTTTTTGATTCCAGGTTTTGTGTGGGTTCCGGTTGCCTTTTTCCTGCTTCCAGTTATTTAGTTTTATGCCCGTGAAGCTGTGAAAACATTTATGTATCTTCAAGTTTCTGTAAGTCAATGCACTGTTACTTTACTAATTCACTTTAACACAGCATCTCTGATATTATTTAAATATTTGATATTGATACAGTAGTTTATTGGTTTATAGCTCTTTAATTGTGTTGATTTGCATATTTACATTGTTCTAAATTCCAAATAAATATTTTTGAGTAATTTTGTTGTATTATTTACTACTAGAAAGGGTAAAAAGTATATTAACCCTCATTTAAACCTCCTGAACAGCCCGCCATTAAAAACCGGAAACGGAAATAAATTTCATAAAATTGAAATTGTCATGTCTATGTCATGTCAAATGTCCCAGCCGCCATATCTGAAAATTAGTTACCCAGGCAGCCACGCTGTTTCCATAATTTAACATTGACTTGACATTTCTTCTTGTATTTATTATTTTATGGTTACTCTTAGCAGCGACTTAAGTCACCGGGACTGCCGCACCGGGACTCACCGTCGCGTCGGCTTCATTGGTTCCTGTTTGCAGCTTGCGCTGGGAGTCGAGACGGTGACCGGCGCGGCGGCGGCGCCGGGCGGCGCGGCCTATCGATATGATTTTATTAACCAGCGACTTTATACGGCGACCAATGGATCCAAACCACCTTCGTACATAGACGAGAGTCTTGTCTCACACCACCATACTTGACGAGAGTTATCTTGTGGTACAAATTGGCGAATTCAGCCTGCTACAACGGATATGTAAAATCGACCTAGAGCGTTTATACTTTGGTGTAAATTCATCTCGTTGGTAGTTCATCACAGTTGTATAACTAAGAAGTAAAATATGGTCTCTTTGGAATAACATGATAAGGAAAAAGTTGGAGTCGGAATAATAACAAAAGTATCAGGAAATAAGCATTTTGTATTAAAACAAAAATAAAGGCAGCTTAAATATAGTTTGAAGCATAAGTAAAGGAGTACGAAGCACTGTGTGGACGGAAGAGGGAAATCAATCAAAATTTATAAGTAAAATTTAAAGACTGAGCCAATCGTAATCAAGGTTTGAAGCAACCATACATACACGACGAACTGTTCTGCAACCATATATACACGACGTAAATTAGCACCATCTATAGTGGGCCGAATCGTCAATTTGCAATTTAATGCTCCATAAGAGTGACTGGGCCCTGAATGGATCATTTTTACTTCTACCAGCAACGTCGAAGTCTGTTTCAGACGCTGGCGCTGCTTAAGCTCAATCGATATGCCGCTCTACGTCTATTAAATGGCTGCGATGTGTATTATTGTGGTAAACAAAAAGAGGATGTAATTGTAATAAACTAACCGACTGTCTCAGTTTATAATTATATACCTAAAAAATATCCTAAATCTATGTTTCTTAGGCCCAAGCGTAATCGATAATTTACAGCTGTTTACGTTAAGGTCTTAAGTAAATAAATATTAAAAAGCGTTTTGGATACCATTTCTTTTTTTCTAGTTAAATAAATATATACTACTAGTTGAAGCCTTCCGCCACGACATAAAAAATCCGCCACGACATAAAAAAATACTTTTTATTTTAATTAAATTAAAAACAAAAAATCCGGCGACAACAGTTTTTAGAAGAGCCAATTAGCTATCTTTTAGTAAAAAAAGCAACTTTCTAGAGCAAGTCGTTACTTCAGTAGAGACGACACAGATAAACATTAGAATTTTATATATGTAGATGTTCTTTTAGGAAGTTTATTTTAATATGACTATATATTAGAATAATTTTCAATTTTTATCCCAATGCGAGAGCCGCACAAATATTTTTGTTTCTGTCATAATAGACGTTGATTTTAATAGACCTCCTCCCATCACTGTCAATTATAATTACGAAAAGTTACACATTTTTTTGTACACGACTATGTTCAACTATATTGACAGATAATTCACAGATTTTTTTATTCAATATGAACAAAGAAAAAGTAATGTTTTTGTTTTTTATTCAACGTCATTATAAAATATAATTTTTATTTATTTACCCTCAATCTCAATTTACAAAATTTTACGGGGGTTTATGACTATTACATAGTTATACAATTAAATTTCTTAGTTAATATATAGATAATTAATATAAGTATATATATTAATTATAGCATAGACGCTCGTCTCCATTTTGCAATACATCGCATGTCGCACGTTTTACCGTTGGACTACATATGCGCCCAGATATAGTGATCGACGATACCACAGTCGCCGTCGCCGCAAGCAGTCGACAGTTTCTGCTCATCGACATTTTAAACAGCGACCAAGGTCGCTGGTCGCTGCTTACCGGAGAAATTGGTCGCTGGTATTACCGGTGACCGTGTAAGTCACCGGTAAAAGTCGCCGGTACAAAAATATCGCTTATCTCTACCACAGAATATTGGACCTCCCTGTATAGTTTGTTAACCTGGGTTGGAAAAATAAATTCTCCAAAAATTTTTTCTCATAAACTATGCGATGTGGCGTTTTTTTTACAAAAAATGTAGTAAATACTAGAGGGACTATTTTACGAAAATCTGTTGTCGGTGGAGTTGGAAAATATTTATACTAAAATTTATGTAAGGGTGGGGGTAGTTTTCACCCTTCCCGTACTTTTTCTTGATTTTTGAGAAAGTCAAGTGTTAAAGCACTTAGCAAAACATAGACACCCAAAATCTCATTCAAATCGAAATAGCGGTTCTTAAAATACTTGAAAAAATCTGTTTTATTTTTTTAAAGTTTCATACCCTCTAGCGGACAAACGAAGCACTCTTGTATAGAGGTAAATTGTTTCCAGTGAACTTATTTTGATTCCAAAAATACGTAGTAGTTCTATGTCCACGGAATATTGGGACACCCTGTATTTCGAAGATAATGTTGAAGCATCGACAGCTGATTAAATCTCTGTTTTGCGATTATACCTCCAACCAGTAATTATAAAGTTAAATAGCGGTTCTAACACTAAAGGTACATTCAGGCTGAGAACGTCGAGCGTCGCGTCCGCCCCATTGCATTCGAACCCCGACGCTCAGCGGACGCTAGCGCAACGCCAAATGCGACGCTGTCTGCCTGAACAGTCTAATTTAAGTTAAGTGAATTGATTCCATTTCGACACGCGGACGCTACTCTCGACGCTCTCAGCCTGAATGTACCTTAATAAACCTTAAAACGTTAACACTTTTATCGTTAATTAATTATATAAATTTAAATTTATTATATAAATAAATTCATTAATTAAAAAAAATCAATTAGGTAATACACTGACAATTGTAATTATTTTGTGTAGAAATTTGATAATATTTGCAATTTGTCAATAATTGATTGACGAAAAAAAGAAATCTTTAAAGTTAGTTTAACGTCTGTTTGAGTATTTGTATAATTAATCTCAACTGTACATCTAACAAACAGCAACACTAAAACAATATTTATTTTAAGCTTTCCATCGATATTAATTATTTGCTTTTCTTACTTTACATAACTTTGAACGGTATAATTCTATAAATAAACTTTAATGAACTAATGTATATTTATTTATCTATTATTACCCGTCCAATTTTATCCAGCAAGATGACGTCGTCGTTATTCAATTCCCACCTTTCTCGTGGAATGGGCTTGTATAAAATGGCACCTGATCGTTGGGTCACTGGTAGGCCGCTGTTGAATTGATACAGGATTAAGTCTCGTATACTAGGAAATGCGGGTCCTTCAAATCTATAATGACCCTAAAGAAGGAAAAAATGTTAAATAAAATGACTAGATGATGTCAATACGACGTTAAATAAAATTGCAATCAAGATGGCTGGTGTCGCCATGGCAATTTTCTAGTGACAGTTGTAGCTATTTTCAGAGTCGACATTAGTTTATGGACATTATTATTTATAACTTATAACAATTTACTTAGATGTACCTACAGTAGTTTAATAAGTAAGTATTCATTATTTTACCAAGAAAAATAAAGCAGTATAGTGTGACCAACGGATCTGTAGCTACTGGGTATCGGCAGGGGAACGCAGTTGTAAACAAAACACGCCCAATTTCATTCATAAAATAGGCATGGGCGTACGGTGTTATATGAAAATAATGTGTATCATAAATATAATACTCAGATTAATAATTTTTTTCAAAAAACTTTATGCTGTTTGAATCGTTACTGTTGAGTTAGCAGATAAACACTAAAAGCTTTTATTAAAGCTCCCTTAAGTATTTTGAATCATTTTATTATTGTGTTGTTAATATAATAGAAGAAATAATTACAGCTGAGGGTTGGACCCTTTGGTGTTACACAGCAAAATAAAACACTAAATCAGTACAATCCACCAAAACACTTTTAATTTTACACTGGACGCACGTTTCGCTAACCATGTGTGCCATCAGCAGATGATCAAGACTGAGTCTTGAGGTATATTTATTTATATATCTGTACTAACTATATTTTTTTCTATAATACATAATTCTAGATATAACTATTTCCAGCAAAAAAATCTTGAAAATAGTTAACTTTGGAAGCGCAAACAAAACATAATTTTACTCACTAGTAGATCCAATATTGCCTATTACACCAGATATGGTATCGCTCCGCCAGCAGTTTTTAAAGGTTAGGTCATTGTCTACCCATATGTTTCATCCAAATAGATAATACTTGGCTATATTTTCGAATTTCGCGTATATATTTTTGCAATGCAATCTCTCTCTGCAATATAATGGGCCGCTCCATTAATAATTATCTGTTATTTTGATATTTACGCCAAAAAAATTCATTTGATTTTAATAACCCCCTAAGCATTTCCCTGCAAAAGGAAAATTCGATTCTTCCTGCAATTTTTGCAAAAGCTTTCTAATTGTGGGGACGAGTTTGAATTCGAGATAAAATCTATTTATCAAATTCCTGACCACTTCGAAAAAGTCGTCGAGCTTTTCGACAGCGGTCTCACGTGGTCGTTTCTTTCCAGAGCTGGATATCATTTTATCGGGGTTAGTTTTCAGCCTTTTTTTATCTTCTGTGTGAATTTTTTTATAGCCCATACGCTAACTCCGGTATAAAGAAATATCCGCTCATGTTTACGTTTAAGCGGCAACTTAAGCGAACTCTCTGTAGCTTCTTCATCGCAAACCCTATTATGAACACAAGGAAATAAAACAAATGAGATTTCATCCACGTTATTATTCACTTACCTATATAAATTAGCTATTATTTCTCTTGTCTGACTATGTAGCGTCTTGCCCTTAACACATTTGTTCGTTTTAAAACACAAATATACGATCAAACTTGATATTAATAATTAAAAACTACGAACGAAAAACATTATAACAAGATAACAACACAATAAAACACAATTTAACTATCAAATATACGAAAAATATAGGAATAAAGTTTAGGATAACCGGTATAAAATAATGAAATAAAGTAATAATGATCAAAAAAATGACACCGCCACTGGATATTTCAATAGTATTCAATATTCCTACTATTTTCAGAAGAGACCGTGAAGTTGGGGATAAAGCAAGCGAATAGGAAAGGCGTAAAAGCCATGGCAACCGCGTGGTAACAAATCCTGTGACGTAGTCTCGCCAATCATGTTCGACGAATAGGCGGCCATGCGCGGCGATGCCGGTTTGCCAATGATATCGTTGAAAAATCTTCAACTTTCATAATATGCGGATTATACAGAATGAAAGAAATAAGTTATTAAATAAAACATATCAAACAATATGAACTACGTTAAAATTCCTTAGTAATATTCGTCAGAATATATGCTAAACAGATTATATATAATAAAAATATATTAAATTTATAGTTCATGTCTGGCAATTTTGCAATTTTATAGATAAACGTGGCAATATCGATTTTTTTTTCTCGCATTCCTTCCGTAGCTTCAGATCCGCTGGTCAAACAGTATCTGCAGGCGGAACGAATAGATATGTTTTACTAGTGATTTTATTTTGTGAGGAAAATTGCTTCTTGACCTCAAGGACTTATGCTCAAAGATATCCATATAAGAATCTTCCTGATAAGCGTTCCTTTGAAAAATTTGTTTTTGTCCTATTCACATAGTGTGGTTTAAAAATAACCTAGGTAGAAACCTGTCATTGAAAGTGAAGAAAATTAATTGCCGTAGTTGGCTCTTTTATGGAAAATCCATATATCTACAAGTCATCGTAAAATAAATCAAAGAACTACTTCTTCGTTTTTGTTGATAAAATAATAAATACATATTTAATAAATATTATTTATTAAACTATTGTAGGTAAATTAAGTAAAAGTAGACTGGTATAAATTTAAATAAGTCCATAAACTAATTTCGATTTTGAAAATAGCTACTAACTGTCACTAGAAACTTGCCATGACAACACTAGCCCTCTTGGTTGCCAAAATATTATTATAACGCCTAGATCATAAATAATTAATAATTTGTTTTATTGAAAAATTGCTCTTTAGTCAAAATCTGAACTAGATAGGTATAAGAAACCCTAACATAGTTTGAAAGAGAATTTGAATCTGCTTCGATTTATTTTAATAAATACAGGGTGTTTTTGAAATAACGAAGTTTTTATGTAAAATAAATTCTTAAAATAGATCAGCAATTTTTGATACCCCTGTATAAATTTAAGGAAGCAATAACATTTTTCTGTAAAGTTTATTTCTCTACCTTTAAACTCAGCACAAGAATTAATTATGAAAAGTAATGTACAGGGTGTTAATAATCTATTCTATTGTAGCATGCAAATTTAAATATCTTTAAATATCTCAAAAACCAAAGATTTTAAACATATTTAACACTTATAATAAATGTCTTTTTTTGGGATCAAGAATCCAAAAATGATATAAAATACCGGGTGTTCCATAAGAAAAAATATAATTTTGGTATGGATGTGTTCTGAATCGCCCTGTATATTTCAAAATAATTTTAAATTGTGCACATTGCCTAGCCACATATACCCAGAAAATATTTTGTTTCTGTATCTTTCCGTCTTCGTATAATCAACCGAGGCGAATGAGGTGCGCCACCCTGTATACTTATGATCTAGGGTTTACAATAATATTTTGAAAACCATTTAAGGGTACAGGGTGTCCCATTTTCGTATGTTTTCGAGAGAAGTGGTACAAAGATGCGGTTTTTTTTCACATTATTTTGCTACTTTTTTGGGAAACTAAAGATACTACACAGAGATTTGTTCTAGCCTTCATCGTTTCTGAAATAGAAAGCAAATTTAAAATTGTTTAATTTGTCTGTCGAATACCCTCGTATCTCGGTTGTGTCATAACGGTGAAATCGAAGTTATTAAAAAAGACGTTAATATAAGTTCTAAATGCAATTTGACCCCCTTTTAGGTTATGTTGTATTTTAAAAAAATTGCCGAAAATGAAACAATGCGTTTTTATTTTTTTTTTCTCACCCTGTATGTATTTTTTGAGAAACTGTGGCAACTAAAAAATTTAACTAATCGATCTACATCGATCCACGCCGAAAAATCTTTCAAATCGGAATAAGCGAAAAAAGCTCGATTTTTGCCATGAAAATTTTGCGAAATTTTGATTTTTTCAACTTTTTTTTGAATATCGACCAAACCCTTCAAATCTAAGAAACATTTATGCACGCACAAACTATATATTAGACGACTGATGGCGCCCTCCCATGGCCTATTTTTCGTTTATTAAATTTTCATAAGGACTCGTAGAAAACGATTTAAAGCTGAAATTTTGCCAGTATCGAAAAACGCAAATATCTTGGAAACGGTAAATATCTAAACGCCCAGTGGAGCCTCTACGGATAGAACTAGTGGAGCTCTACAATCGCCTTATTTATCGGTGTTTCGAAAATTTCCAAAAATTATTGCACTCAAAATCGAGATTTCCATCAAAAACTCTGAAACTGAAACTGGACTCAATTTTCATCTTTTCAATAAGTTATAAGATAATATATCATAAGATACATCATTTTCAACTTCGCCCTGTATTTCAGGAACCAAGAGGGATCAACTAGGACAAATCTGTGTGTAGCATCATTAATTCCATCAAAAAGTAGCACAAGCAAGTTTAGCAGTGATGTGAAAACAGCATCTTTGTATCACTATTCATAAACGAGAAACAACATAAAGCACATGAAAATTGGATACCCTGTACTCTTCGTATAATCGGCACCCAAAGCCAGAAATGCCGACTTTGTATAGATTGTGCATTATTGCCCGTTTTGCATAATAGTTGTAGCGTTGATTCAAAGAATAGGGAAGATACGCAACCTAATGGACAAATTCGTGACAAGGCTGATTTGATTTCCCCTTACGCCTCAAGTGCTGTACGGTGGAGCCTCTACTCGTTTTGCGGCCAACGCATAAAACACTCATTTTCTCTAATTCGGCTAGCGAAGGCATATCGAAGACGGTGTGCAGCTGAAAGCGACAGTGTTGCTATATTAAAATGTGTCATATCTGTAATACGTTTGATTTTGATTTGAAAATATCTTTGGATGAAAAATTTACGTTTATGTATTGAAAATTTATTCGTGTTAAACATACAAGTAACAATAAACAATAAAAAAATAAAGATTCTTTTAGAGGTACTGAATATTTCGAATGATTGAAAAAAATCGTTTAGTTGGCTTGGAAATGACGACCTATTGACATTTACCATAATATTTTACATATGATATTTATTTCCAAGCCAACTCTGACGCCGTTCTTTGTTTAATCATATTATATATTATATACTTTGTTTAATAATACTAATATATTAAATTGTTTAATGATAGAAAATTCGTATCATTAACGTACTGTACCCAATCCGTAAATCTACGGATTAATCCGTAGTTCTGGCAACACTGTCTCCGGCAACCACCCACTCTGTCGATTGAAAGCAGAACTACGGTACAGTATTCTTTATCCGCTGCGCTGTAAATGACTATCGGCGCGCAGCGGCGCAGTACTAGACTAAATCTCGGACATGTTGACTAGCCGCGACGGTATCGCCAACTACATCTCGGACAGGTTTTGTGCCACGAAATCGCCCATAAGGTTGCGCATCGTCTTTTTATCTTACCTCGGCAGTCGTTTGTACTATAAAATGTTTATGTCCACCCCAGCAAACTGAAAGGACTGTTTGGCACTCGTCGTTTCTCGTTGTCTCTCTAACAAGAAAATCTCCATCCGTCGTAAGGAGCCTAACCACTTCTTCACGAGGAAGGACTCCGTGGAACCATTCCTCATCTACCAAGGACTTATTAGTTGTAAGAGAAACCTACAAGTTGATATAAATAATTTAAAAACTAACCACGAACCATTAAAAGTAATGAGGAATATGTAGTTCAGAGAATAATAAAGTTTATAACAGTAAATTATGATACTTAATTATTACTATACACTTCATTACATAATATTATTTATTTTAAAAATATTTTATTGCGTAAAAGAACTAATTAGTTTTAATATTGTCAGTTAGTATGCATAGCATGCATAGGTACTATACTGGTGGGTACTAGACATCACTAAACACTGCAAAAAAAATACACAAGCTGCTTCATGCATTAATTCATTAATTGTTATTATTATGTTATATGTGCAAAATATGAATGCTAACGTACATTAACAGATATTAGGGTCTACTGTGCATTAATATTTTTTATGCCCTAATCCAATCTTTATATTGTTAATTTATACACAGATTTATAGTCATTTTAAACACATATTATCTTGACAATAATTTTAGGACTTTATATCTTTTTTACATAGTTTTATATTAGTTTTCTTTATATACAAAATAAATGTTTTATTTTGTATATATTTAGATAATCTACTTGAATAACTGGCGCATTATAGTTAGTTACAGGGTGAATCAATGATCAAGTTACAAATTGTTGAAAAACTGTACTACACAATTAAAATAATTTTTTAGTTAAGTTATGGTTTTCTTTTAAGTATACTCAATGTTTCAAAAAAGTATGACGGATTTAACATATATAATTTTTAAACAAAACACCCCATAATTTATGTTATTTTTAGGTTTTGGTTAAGATTTTATAATTTTTTTATTAATAACGCTAAATTTATATTAGCAACATGAAGTTATATGTAGTTTAACGAAAGTACTATAAGTACTATATAGGTTGTCCATAGAGAAGATCTCCGACAGTGACTCATTTTAACTCACCGAAAAAAATATTTTTTTGGATGTCGAAATAGTTCTTGAGCCTTTGGACAGACATGATAGAAAATACAATGATTTTTAGAAATAGAAAATACAATGATTTTTAGAAATAAGAATATTAGTTATAATTTGAAAGCAAATCACCTAATCTAAACAAATATTAGAGCAGATTTTGAAAGTATTTTTTGTTAGTGGATATATAAAAATAAATTCCATCCTTTTTCTAAAAACCTATTTTTTTTTAAACGATCCACTCTGTATTTTCAAAACAACACAATTGAGGGCCTTTCTTCAAAATGAGAAGTGGAATTATCATATATTGTTGACCACCCTGTAGATAAAGCATGATTAGAAATGGTTTTAACAAAAAAAAAGCAACATGAAGCAATACAAAACAAAAAAATAAAGCAAAATGTGAACTTTAGATCAAATATAGGTACTAAAAGATACAGCACGCTACTAGAATAGCACTAAAAGTTTTTTGTCCGCTTAGTAAACACAAAATACTATAATATTTTTATTTTTAAAACAATCAAACTTATTTTTACTGATACAAAACTCTCTTGCCAAGCCTGTACAGGGTAAGTCATAAAAAAGTGCGTATATTTTTAGGTTTGGTTTGGTATATTTCGATCCCAGGAACATGTCTGATGATATGAATAATGAAAATTTTTAATTTTTCTAGAAAATTTTTGGAAATTGCTTTAATAATCAGTTAAAAATATAATAACTTGATAATATGCCATCATAGGTAGTAGATGAAATTTAGAGGAAAGAAAATCCAGAAAAAATCCAATGGATCTCAAAATTTAAGTACATTTCTTTAAAATTTTCAAAGTAAAATAACTCAGCGATTTTGGACTTATTTAAACGGTAAAGAGAAAATTTGTTTCTTTTATCGAGATCTACCAGTCCTGAAGATATTTGCACTACGGTGCAGTATTTTTTACCCGCTGCGCTGTAAACGACGATCAGCGAGCAGCGGCGTAGAGCTAAACTAAATCTCGGAGAGGTTGATTAGCCAATACACTAGATGTGTGCAGTTCATAAACGAACCAGTTCCAATGAACTATTCCGACTCTGGAATGAAAGGAACTCTAGTTTCTAGAAAGTTCCTAAGGACCTATTTCGGGAACCGATATATAATAATATGTGACGGCAGCGGATCGGCCAGCGCGATCGTAGCTCGATGCTAGGCGGGAGTGGGGAGTGCCCACCGTATGTTATCGGTCCCGGCCCGAGAGTAACAAGAGGAACTAAATAAAAGACTAGTTCACGTACGGATCGGTCAGCGCGATCGTATCCCGAGGCTATGCGGAAGTGGGGAGTGCTAGCCGTATATTACCGGTCTCGGACCGAAAGAACTGAGAGGAACTAGTTAAAAGGCATTTACCGTTTAGCCGTACCGTACAACTCTTCAACCTCCAACCCATAATTCCGGTGCATGCGTATTGGAACGGCAGAACAAAGTAATGCTTCAATATAGAGATGAGGAAAACTGCGATTTACAATCGCACTTGAAACTTACTTCAAAGCGAAGTTTACTTCAATATACCCTGGTTATGAAAGTAGCGTTTATCTCCGTGGTTGAGGCTGCCGCTTCGGGAGCAACGGGTCGTTGGATCGATTCGCGACAGAGGTAGATTTTTTTTACAGCTATTTTTATTTTTTTAAAACTGTTTAGAGTTGTTGGTAACAACGATCAAAATACGACGTAGGTATATTTTGATTGCGTTGATTAGGCGTATTTTGATTGGGTTGGTTGGTAGGTTGGTAGGTATTATTACTTAAGAACTTACTCTCGAAAGTTACAAGTTTATAATAAAAGACAAGAAAATAACCCACGATTTAAATTTGGCGGGAACTGTGGGTTGGAGTTGGAGAGTTGCACGGTACAGCTAGACGCAAGTGTTAAAAGACTAGTTCACGGGAATCTATTCAATCCGCAGATCCGAGATATAATACAAGGCGACGACGATGGATCTGGTCATGTCTATTGCCGAGGCCGGCGCAATTACCACAGAAAATTGTCGTGGATACTGTTTTTTGAATTTTAAGTTTGTTCTTTGAATATTTTATGGGAATTTCTTAATTTAGGTCCCTAAAATTAAGAAATATCTTATAAAATGAAGTAGATAGAAGTAAACTTTTTAGACAAAAACAAGAAGCTTGACGTGACGAAAAATGCAATTTTTCCTAAAATAAGAGAGAAAACTTTACCTTCATATTTATCATTTAGCTTCACCTACACATGTGTCAATATTAAATATTTTATTATTTGCTCCAATTGATTTGTGATACAGTTTTAAACTCTGATTTTATTTTCTCTAAAGGAACTAGAATTCCCACCCCTAATTTGCACTTATTTCAGACTCACCATGTGAACCTTTGAGATGTTTAAATCCAGATTTGCTGCATCTTTTCTAAACCTTTATATTTAATCTAATAGAAAGACTGTCACCTACTGGATCGCCTCCTTCACTACGAGGCACCGACTCCCTCCGACCTTTAGTCCTAGGGGGAGCTATAGGCGAAGAAGGAGCACTTCTCCGCCTAAAAGGCTTTCTAAGGACATTGGGCAACATTTTTACCAGGCGATGAGAGTCGAAGGCCGACAAATGTTTGTTTAGTGTACTCTGAGAACCGTCACCCTGTAAAGTGTTAATTGTTATTTAAACTAAGCCTCCACCAATATTTGCTGAATTAAAATATCCGAAATGCTTTTTTATGATCAATTATTCAAAGGTACTAAACCTTTATTTCTGGTCGGTACCTACTTTGAATATTTCATGATAAGGGTTTGTAATTAATATCATAATTGAATAAAATAGTTTTGAAATCTGATGAATAAGACGAAACAAGCAATTTTGAAAAGGATATATAAATTAATGTATTTTCTTTAATAATACCTAGATAAATAATAATTGCTAAATCTCATTTTTAAGTTCTGTATACTGCAAATGATGATGTAATCAAGATTTACTCATATCCATAAGCTAGATAATAACATATAAGGTTTAGAGAGACAATAATTACAAAAGTGGTAATCGGGAATATCTCTTACAAACCGTTCATACGGTACAGTTTTGATTGTTTTGTCAAACCGATAAAAATATCGAATGCTACTGTGGCACATGGTTTTCAAATGCAGCTATTCAAATGATCCTTTGAATAAAATGACCGATTGCCTGACGTATGCGAATATTTTTCCGAATACGCTCGTTTTATTTTGTTTACGATAAGAAAGCCGGATATGCATGTGTGTTCTTTCATAAGAATGTCGATTTCATAAGCTTGATTTTCATGCATCCGATATCCGTTGGTACGATGCGATGGTCCGACGGCGCTCTGATTGGTCGTTTTCGCACCACTTTTAATCCGTAAATTTCTTACTCCAGCCCGTCAACGGAGAAAGATCGTACGACAACGGACGTTTTGACACTTCAAAAAGACAAATTTAATCTAACCTTAATAAAAATGTATTAGTACAAGGGCTAGCTAAGTTTATGAAGTAATGCGAGAGCAGTTCCGTAATAAGAGGTGTAGTACAAGGGCTAGCAATGTCGGGAAAACAAGAATTTTAAGAATGTTGGTTCTTAAATATGTCTTTTGCTATGCTCTCCTGTGCTATCCTGGCCAAAGTGCGGGAAATCTGGCTGCCGGTAGACTGGTGCTGTTCACTACTGCGCATCACATCTGTACAGATTTTCTCATTACTTCGCTACTTTTTTTATGAAATTAAATATGGTACACATATGTTTGTCCTAGCCTCCTTAGTTCCTGAAATACAGGCCGAATTTGTAATGCGCAGTAGTGAACAGATGTTGAATACAGATATGATGCGCAGTAGTGAACGCAACGTCTACCGGCAGCCAAACGGTACGCACTTTGTTCAGGAGAGCATAACAAAAGATATATTAAAGAACCAGCTTTCTTAAAATTTTCTCTCGAAAATGTTGCTAGCTCTTAGACTATAAGATAAGTAAAACAGCGAAATCGTTATGGAAATGAAAATATAAAATGACATCAATCACAAACAAATGGTACATACGATGAACGGAGGCATGAAACTATGCGATAACGGATGCATGAAAATCAAGCTTAAGATAACAAAAAATTTCCGGTTTCATAATACACCAACACCAACAATCATGAGTATCATGACCAAAGTATTACAGATGAAATTCAGATTGGTTCAAGAAGTGAAAATTACATTTGAAATAAAAATTTTGTCAAGATTTAGTCCACCTCAAATTACTGTTTTGTTGATAGGTAAAGGTAAAAAGACATATTTTGAAACCTACTTTGACATTTTTTTGTCCCATCCTACATCAAAACCTAGCTGCGCTCATGGTGAGGCGGGTTTAGTTAAAAAGTAGATACTTAGTTATCTCCTGATGTGGTAGGTATTTAAGATAGGCATTTGAGATTTTAGTGTGTTTTCTTAATACATTTTTTTGAAGAGATATTACCGATTTTTACTTTCCAACATGAGCTATCGTAACTATGGATGTGTAGGTACTAATATTCAAAGGTACTAATAAGGATATTTTAATTTTCGATTAGTACATAAACTACACAAGGAATATTTATATAAACACATTTATGGACATCTTTAATATTTGACTATTTGATAGACAATTCACAATCTTACCGATTTTGTTATGGTTTACCATCTTGAATTGCATGTTTCGTTTTGCGTTTTGCGCTTGTAACTTGCACTTTTCGACAAATAGGTTATATGTATGATATTAATAATTATGAATGTAGATAATACGACTATTTACACTTTTTATATACAGGGTGCAGGGTGAGTTTCCTAGGATATTCTCTATGGGTATCTCGGAAACTACTGGAGATAGAGAGTCAGTTAAATGGGGAAATGTGTTGCGGGGTCATAAATATGCGCTTTTCAGATTTTCGAAAAAGTTCATGGCTTACTAGATATTTCGAAAAAAACAAATTTTGGCTATTTTAAAATTTTTCCCTAATTCCATTATAATCTATTTTAGACAAAAAGTTTTCAGATAAAAGTTGTAGATAATCACATCCCTAATGAGACTGTGTTCTCCGATTTTTTCTAAAGCCTGTCATTTTTGACATATGACACAAACATATGTTTTTTTTAAATGGAAACCATAGTTGGCCATGACTTCATAAATAGCGCCATTTGTAAGCTTTTCAGCGATATAAGCTATATTATGTTTCTTTCACAAAATTACTGAGTTATTAGCCATTCTTATCTTCATCATTGGCTATTAGCCAATTCTTATCTTCCTTGACTAATTTCACTTATAGGGAAATTGGAACAACCTTCGTTGCACGTCATCAATGACACCATGCGTCGTCTTATGGAGTTTGCTGGTGGTCGTATTATGATGTACAACGAAGGTTATTTTAATTTCCCTATAGTTAGCATAGTTATAAACAAGTTCAATCGTTGCTGCTCTCAAAAATGTGAAATTGTCACATCCAATCTTTGCAAATTAAAATAAACAAAAATTGTAAATACGAGTTTTTCAAATGAATAAAAGCGTGTAGGATTATTGGTTCAACTTTTCTTGGCCATACAGTTTCGAGAATACGTTTACCGGTGAACGTTACTTATGTTTTTCAGAGAACGGTTTTTAAGACATGTTAGAAAAGTTAAATATTGATACTCGCGCATTAATAGAGTGGTTCCAACATGACTTCCATTATGACACACCAAACCCCCCCACAATGTAAGAAATGTTAAAAATTATTTCATTATCATAATTATCTAGACTCAAGGATAGAAAGAGTTGGACTAATTGCATTGGTCTCTCGGTCACCTGACCTATCCATTTTAGATTTTTTTTATGCGGTATCGTTAACAACAAGGTTTACAAAAGAACTTATGAACTTATGAGAGGCACTCGAACAGGCGGAACAGGAGAAGTTTAATTAAGTTGACCGGTTGTTCGGCGAGAATAGCTAGAAATTCAGTTTTAAAAAGATGCATTTATGTACTCAAAACAATTGCGGATTTTTTGAATATTTTCTAAAATAACTTAAAGTGTATGTATTGATTATTTTTTTAAGTTTTAGTTTGTGTAATGTAAATTGTAAAGAGCCGTTTAATAATATATTTTTTCTTTTTATAAATTATAAATCATAACAAAATTCGAACACCATTGGAAACCGTTCTCTAAAAAACGTAAGTAACTTTCACTGGTCAACGTATCTTGTATGGTCAAGAAAAGTTGAACCAATAATCCTACACGCTTTTCGTCATTTAAAAAAAATTATTTATAATTTTTGTTTATTTTAATTCACAAAGATTGAATGTGACAATTTCACATTTCTGAGAGCAACGACGATTGAACTTGTTCCCATGGCTAACTAAGCGAAATTAGTCCAGAAAGATAAGAATTGGCTATAACTCATTAATTTTGTAAAAGAAACATATTATAGCTTATATCGCTGAAAAGCTTAAAAATGGCGCTTTTTATGAAGTCATGGCCAACTTATGGCCAGTTATGGTTTCCATTTAAAAAAACATATGTTTGTGTCATATGTTAAAAATGACAGGCTTTAGAAAAAATCGGAGAACACAATCTCATTAGAAACGAGATTATCTACAACTTTTATCTGAACACTTTTTGTCTAAAATAGATTATAATGGAATTAGGGACTATTTTTAAAATAGCCAAAATTTGTTTTTTTCGAAATATCTAGTAAGCCATGAACTTTTTCAAAAATCTGAAAGGCGTATATTTATGACCTCACAAAACTGCAATTCTTTCCCCATTTAACCGACTCTCTATCTCTAGTAGTTTCCGAGATGCCCATAGAGAACATCGTAGGAAACTCACCCTGTATATGATTATACATTTTTTAAGAACTGCCATCTCTAGAAATTCGACGCTTAAAGGTATTACTGATCTTTATTAGAAATTATTTCAAATTGAAAAAATAACATTACTATCATAATTTTTAAGCTGTTGCTACATGAAAAGCAATAATTATTCGTTTTTACCAAATCGTCTATTTAAAAATGACAAATCAAGTACCTTTTTCAGTTAAAAATATGCAAACCGAAGTTATCAAATAATTCCCATAACAAAATCATGGGTTAAGATTGTGATTCCGAATTTGATCTAAAATTACGAATGCTGTAATACAAGGCTATAATATAAAATATAACATTAAAGTTAATTAATTGAAACTAAAAACTATAATGAAATAAATATACGCATAGAAGTTTAATTTAACTATATCGTAAAACTTAAACTACTTTACACATCAAGTTATTTTAATGAATTAATAATTACCTGTTCTCTTGGACTTTCTATAAAAGCAGGTTGATTATCAATAGATATATCACAACCCGATGGCACTTCTTCACAACCTAACTCATTTAAGGCACTTTTGATGAGTTCGATTTGCTTTAACATTTTCCGCTCCTGACATTTTAATTCGTTTACTTCTTTTTTCGATGACTCCAAACTTATAACTGATAACCTAAAGAAATAATTTAAAAATAAGTTTTACTAATTTTGAATATAATTAGATTGAAGTAATAACACTAAATGATTCGAACAGCTAAATTAATCTGCTGAAATCAAAAGCACATTTCTAAATAATCAAATAAAATGCAATAATATACTACACAGTATTACGAGAAAGTAAATGCATAAAAATTAAAACATAAAATCTGAAAAAGGTTTAGTAAATATAAATGAATACTTATCAAATGTATCAAATCTTAATGAACTTGAAAGATTTGCTATAATAACTAGAGATATAACATCTATCTCGATCTGCTATAAAATGTGTCTATTGGTTTTTAAACTATTATATTTATTTTATATTTTTTTATATATTTGTAATAGGAATAACATCTTCGTTTTTTTATTTACCTATTATTAATTTCGTTGGAAAGAGGTTTTCCATTAACTAAACTATCACTATTATGTCCATTGACCAGTACAATTCGTTTCTCTTGATTTTCCTTATTACTAGCTTCTAATTCGGTAAGTTTATTCCTCAACCATTCGACTGTCAAATTGTCCACTGTAAGTTGGTTGGGCAGAAGTTTTCCGGCTGAATCTTCCACCAAACTCTCGTCGAATGTAAATTTTACAGGTTCAGTAGGTGTAGTCCTGCAATAAAGCATATATTATGGAATTTAATTAAAAATAATATAAACTTAATAATATAAGTTCTAAAAAGTATTCAGCCCAGATAGGGTGGACAATTTAAACATATTTTAATATTTTCAAAAAATCCATATTTCCACAGTACAGGTCACAGGTACAGGTGCTAAAAAAATAGCTATATATACTGTTGATTAGAAAAAATACAATCTATATCTATATTTTTTATCTAAAGAACCTTATCCTAAGGTAGTAACTTTTATTCTCGAAATTTAATTCAAATCGTTAAAAGCACTTTAGTATAAAATTATAATAAATTGAAAATAAAAAATGAAACCTTCACTATCTACGTAACAAAGCTGAATCGGACCTATGTTGATATAAATTTGTTAGAGACTGTGCAGCGGTTTTCCCTAAACCACTTACTAAGATTTTCAACTTGGCTCTACGTACAAACACTTTCCCGGAGGCCTGGAAGAATGTGTAGGTTTGTCCAGTATTCAAGTCCGGTATAATGTCAACGTCATTGGTCATTACAGACCGATTGCCATTTTATCAAACTTTACCAAGGCTTTTGAAATATGCATATTTACGAAATTATTTTCCCAGATCCAAAACGAACTTTCCCCCAATCAGCATGGTTTCTTCCCAAAAAGGTCTACTGTAACAACAACAATTACAACAAATCTTACTACATTCATCATTTATAGAATACACATATAAAGCTATTGAAGAACACCAGCAGGTAGATGCAATTTTTATGGACTTCTCGAAAGCATTCGACAAGTTGAGTCACTCACGACTGCTTCATAAATTTTGGTTTTACAGAAAAACTCGTAGCATTCTTTTCGTCATATCTTTCTTACCGATCGCAATACGTTGAATATAATGGCCACCGTTCTTTCAGATTTACACCAACAAGTGGCGCTCCTCAGGGTAGCAACCTCGCACCTCTATTATTCTCCATTTGCATCAATGATATATTCAACGTAATTGACTGTCCATCCTTATTATTCGCCTACGATCTAAAATTGTTCTCTGTTGTGACCGACTCAGAAGATTGCATACGAGTTCAGAATTCATTAAACTCCATCTTTGCCTGGACTGTTCGCAACCATCTATCACTCAACATACAGAAATGTAAGAAAATGTCAATAGCACTAAAGCACGGAGAAATCATATACAACTACAAAATAGACAACATTACAATGGAAAACTGCGATATGGTAAAAGACCTTGGCGTCTATATCGACAAGCGTCTCAGTTTTAACTATCACGTTGAGGAAATCTGTAAAGCGTCACTGAAGGCACTAGGTTTTATATCATGCACAACTAAGAAATTCCACAATATTCCGTGTCTTATTGCTCTCTACAACGCATTTGTAAGGCCAAGGCTGGATTATGCTGCATTGGTGTGGTCTCCATTATATAGTAGCCACGAGCAACGTCTGGAAAACGTTCAACGTCGTTTTTTAAAATTATTATTTTTTAAAGAGGATGGGATATATCCTCCTTAAGGTTATGATCACGGCCGATTGTTGATTAGATGGAATTTCCTTTCTTTAAAGGATAATAGACTTCGTTCGTCTATCATATCCCTATATAAGTTGTGTAATTATCTATTGGATTCTCCTTCTCTTCTCGGTGCACTTTGCTGGCATGTACCGTCCGTAAATACTAGAATGAAAACGACGTTTTATACAAAAACACCAAGTACCGTCCTTGCAAGCAGAGCTCCACTACATCGCGCCTGTTGAACTTTCAACGACATCAGCAGACATACAGATTTGGATCTCTTCCACAACTCTCTCCAAAGTTTTAAAGGGCATCTGGACACTCGTTCCTTCAAACATTAATTTTTATCTATTTTTTTCATCTATCTTTTGTTTCATATATATATGTATTTTGATTTGTTTCATATATATATATATATATATATATATATATATATATATATATATATATATATATATATATATATATATATATATATATATATATATATATATATATATATATATATATATATATATATATATATATACTTTTCTGTATTTTTTTTTATATTTTATTAATTATTACTATATTTGCATATTATTATGTCTAATTTGTCTTTTGTATGGGTTAATTAATACCTGTTAGGCAATAAAGTTATTATTATAAAAAAATAATCTTATTTTTACGTAAGGAATCTCCCCACAAGAGACGGCACATGTTTTTTGAAACAACCCGTATAGTTTTCGACATATTTTGTGGATCATTGGATTGTTTGGAACAAAACAGATTTGGTAGCGACTTGAAGGTATATTTTTAGCGATACTAACTACGCTAAATAGTCACTTGATCATAGTGATGGGTTGTTATTTAACTATCTGTTATTTTATAACAATTATTTAGAAATAACATAACGCAACCGTTACTACTTCTAAAAAATAACAGATATAAAATAACGACACGTAGAGATCGGCCGCTCGTGAAACGAAAAACGAAGTCGGCGCTCTGCACCGCCCCGAAATTCTATGCTGCTCGAAGCAATTCCAAAAAACAACTAGTATGGATGGAAAACCTGTTATTTCGTCAACCATCGATACAGGCGGCGAGACAACGGACAACGGAGTGGGGAATGCGCTACGGCGAACGTAGCTGCTTCGGTCGATCCCGTCGACGGTCGTATTGCGCTTATAACAGCTTAAAAATAATAGGATATAAAAGAAGCAGGTTTTTTGAAACAGTTGCGGGCATAACGCCTGGCGGTCGAGATAACAGGAGTGGGAAAGGAAGGCTGCTGCATCGGTCGATTGTCGATGGAAGTTCGAAACAGGTTGGAGAATAACGCATCAGTTGTTTTAGATATATTGTTTTTCAACCTGTTACGAGCATAACGGGCGGAGGTCGAGATATTATGGCGCTGTATGTTTCAGTACGTTATTAAGTTTCAATATTTAGGTATTTATTTATTCTGAAAAATTTTCAGAATAATATTTTAAGATTTTTTAAAAATGTATACAGGGTGTTTTGAAAAATCTGGTCATTGATTAATCACGATCCTGCTTAAAGCCCTTGACGTAAAAAGCTGATTTTTGGAAAACGGATTGACTTTAGGGTGTAGAGGTTCGATAAGAAGGGATTTTTCGAAACTCGAATTCAAAGGGGGTGAAACCACCCTCAAATATTAGAATATTTTTTATTTAAAAACCGGTGAGTTTTCCGGAAAAACTCTTAAACACGTATATTTTATTTCGTTGTTTTACATATTTTAAGATTTTTTAAAAATATATACAGGGTGTTTCATAAAATGTGACCATTGAGTAATCACGATTCTGCTTAAACTGCTTGACGTTTAAAGCTGATTTTTGGCAAACGGATTGACTGTGGGGTTGAGGTTCGATAAGGAGGGGTTTCTCGAATCTTAAATTCCAAGAGGGTGAAAACGCCCCTCAAATATTACAATATTTGTTATTTAAAAAACGGTTAGTCTTTCGGGAAAACGCTTGGACACGCATAATTTATTTTGTTTTTTTACATATTTTGAAATTTTTTAAAAAATAATACAGGGTGTTCCAAAAAGTTGAGTAATTGATTAACCACGATTCTGCTTAAACTGCTCGACGTTTAAAGCTTATTTTTGGCAAATGTGAGAAAATTTTATCCAGTTTGTATGTCAATAGAAATTCTTGCTTTGCTTTATCATCACCATTACAAATTATTAATTCGACGCGAACGAAGTCGCGGGTACACGCTAGTTTAAGTGTAAAATTAATTCGAACTCTAGTGTATAGTTGGTTTACTTATGAAGAATATACTACACATTTTCTTATATTGCTATTTTTTGACCACAAATGGTAAAATTATAACTAAGAGCTTCTTGCCCGTCGAGTGAGATGCACCCTGTACACTGCTACGCAATTCAGGATCTACGCCGATCGAGGGGCAAGGCGTAGGTAGATCGGAATGTATACGTATAGACGAGTGGCGGAATTTTGGCTTTTTTATATCGCAATTTGTAAACAGCGCTTATTTGTAAACAACGACCGTTTTTAGAGAGGTATTTTAGATAACAATCGATATTTAGAAATTTTTAGACACCCTGGAAATACTACCACCGAGCATGTCATTGTAGCAACTTGCAACTGCGTTAATACGCCTGGCGGCGACCGCTTCATACTCTTTCAGATATTTAGCAATAAAATAAAGAAACCTGTTATTTTTAAGCTGTTATTTTAAGCTGTTTTTTATAAATAACTATAACAGTTTCAACTGTTATCTAAAAATAACAGTTTTGCCCATCACTACTTGATCAATTAGTTCTTCGAATTACTATTTAATATTTGGACAACTGAATATAACTAGGTCGCCAGCTAACCGCAGAAATTGCCGCAGACAGATATTGTTAACCTCAGTATGACATCACGTTCTATATATTTTACGTTAGTAAGGTATTTAAACAATATTGGTTAATGAATTAATATAATTCAAAAGTAAATATATAAAATATTTATAGGTTTACTATTGTTAATTACACCATAGGAGATATGCCAGCGATGATACCGGATGACAACGAAATCGTTACACAAACCGTCATTTAGTTATTTTCTTAACCAATAAATTGAAACTTACTTTCAAGATAAAGTTTATAAAAACTATCATTTACTATTTAAAAATAACTTATAACTTCCAGTTTAATTCGTAATGACTAAGCGAAGAATTTTAAATGGCGCTCAGTAAAGTCAAACCATCCACTGAAGTGCGAATTAAAATGGATTATTTTGTTGATGTTTTATTGAATTACCATAATAACTAACTTATCATTAAGTTAAAGGACACAATATTAAATTAAATCATTTTCTAAAATTAATATCATTTTTATCTATACAAGATGTCCCGGAAATAAGTGCAAGTATTTAACTGGTAGTATAGTTCAACCCCAGAAATACGCCTATGAGTTTTCTTTCGCGAAAATTTTTTTTTAAAAATATTTTGGAATTTTTTTTAGTTTTTAGCTAAAA